GTAATGTGCAGTAACTTCCAAATCCTCAACCGCACGAGCCTGTGTGAGGTTGGCCTGGAGTCCAATGGGTGTGTGTTTACTTGTGACTTCAGTAAAAAATCTGACATTCTAACAGTAAAACGTTAATCAAATTTATAAATAATTTAATTGGAAGGAAAATAACACATGATTAAATTCCAAACTAATCCAACACAAAGATGTGCAATTTGCCAGAGGCCCAAGCACCAGAAAGAGATCGATGGTATGAATTACAGGCATTCTATGCCAACTCTCCCAGGGCAACGGATGAACTTTCCTTGTCTGGATAGAAGGGGTGCTCGTGAAAAAGCTGTGTCCACCCACGGAGCTTCCCAAGGCATCCATTCGTTGCGTTTTCTAACTGGGACTATGAGTCTTTGCATCAGGAAGACTGACAAAATAAGCCACGTTATCTCAGGGACCCACTGCTAAGCTACTGCACTGACAGCGCAAGATCGGTTCTACAGCAACATGAGCCAAGACCCAACGCTCTCATCCCTGCCACCCTGCCTGGGCTTCTGGGAGCCCAGAGACGGAGGGAGAAGTCCTTCTACGTGGCTTTCTAAGGAGGAAAGAACATGTGCATCTTCTTTCTTTTGAGGAGTTTTGGAGAGTCAGCACTTCATGGCAACCAAGGAGGTTCAAGAGCTGCAGGGTGAAAGGAAAATAGGGAAAACCAAGCATTTCTTTCATTAGCAGCGACACAGGAGTCCGTGAGGGGCTTCGCACAGCCTTCCATTGGCTTCGCTATTTCACCTTGAGCTGCCTATCCCTCACCCTTCAGATGAAACGCAAGCCTGCGGTGAACCAGCCCAGGACGCTCCCAGGTCTCCATAGAAGCTGCTCGGCAAGCAGCCCGTCAACCAGGGAAGCATACCTCTGCTCTTTCCTTCGGCCAGGCTCTCTCCTGCGTCCCACCCAGAAATCACAGCAGTTCTCCACGTGGGGCAGGATGCCCTGGTGTGAGTGCGTTCCTCTGAGGAGACACCGGGGCTCCGTTCAGAGTGTGCATCGCTGCCCAACCCCTGCCTGGGGAAGACATTCATCGGCCTGTGACAGTCAGAGGGTTCTTGCATGAATCTGTTCGCTCTTTCAGTTAGCCCGTCCCACAACACCGAGAAGGGAAAGTCCTCGCACTGCTGTAATGAACGTATCACCCTCCAAGCACACCCCAAAACAGCAAAGGCAGCAAATGTAGCACTTTAACCTTCAGCACAATTTTCAGGTACTCCCCTGTGCACATACATGTCACGCCAGCCTCTCTGTCACTACCTACCCCAGCTCAGATAACAAAGGAACTTTTCCACCCATTTAAAAGGTTTACACCAAGCAGCACTGCCAAGTTTTTCACAGCACAAAGTACTGTGAACAAGCAGGGCAGTGAATTATGGGTGTAGCGGCATTCTTTCACATATAGAAAAAACTACAGAGACCTACACACAGGCATTTGCTTATCGCCTTAATAGAAAGCCTGGAGTCCCAGGTGGAGCCTGCCATTAACGCACCCGCTGTTAGCCAAGAGACTGGCAGTTCAGGTCCTCCCAGGGGCGCCTGCAAGGAATTGGCTTGCAGTCTACCCCTAAACCAACTGTCCCGGCCATCGGGCAGTCTGGAGCAGTTCTACCCTGGCCCATGTGCTTTCCAGGAGTAAGGGTGGCTTGATGGCAACGGGTTTGGGAAAGAGCACAACTCCTAAGTGAACCCCCAAGCAAGAGGCCTTGCCGGATGATGCTCGCTGCTCACTTGGCTCATTGGGGAGTCCTTGGCTGAAGGCTGGCGACCCTCGTTTTATGCTGTGTATTTCTCATCGCCCCCAGCGTGACATTTCTCTTTCCTCGGTCCTCTAGTGTGGCATTCTTTCATAACATGATGGCTTTAAGAGGCAGCATGAGTCAGAATTGACTGGTTTTGTGGTTTGCTGGTTTTCCAGGGGGCTCCTGGCAAACTGGCCCCAGTCTGGCGACCTCAGTGGTGTCCACTAAGTCCATGGGAGACTCGGGCTTTCCCACCATGGCGAGCAGACGCAGTGACTGTGTCATTTGTGCCTGCCTGGCCCGGGCCATTTCCCTCCGAGTCTTTGCTCTTTGCCTCCAAGGCCCTGCCACCAACAAAGGATAGACGGTCCATTCTGACTGATAGAGCCCTGTGAGCAGTTTCACTGCGCCACCCCACCGGGTTTCTGAGCCTGGGTCGTTCCCCTCAGAGTGGCTGGTAGGTTTGAACCACCAACATGATAGCTAGAGACCCAGTGCCTAGCCCACGGTGTTACCGGAGCTCCTTTCTTCTGCCATAGGGGCAGTGCCCCACCACCTCACACCCCACCCAGCTGTGCCCCCCAAGACCACGTGGGCTCCACTCATCCTTCCCTCCTCCTTTCCATGCATTTCAGTCTAGAGACTGATGCGATCCTGGACGCGCCACTTTGATTTACAGACCCCTGTTATAAGTTTTTCTAAAACCCTGTTATTTCCTTTCATAACACTTATCACCACTATAATTGTATAGTAATTTACGTAATTACCCGTTTCCCCCCCAGTAGGCTATAATTTCCTTAGGGCAGCAATCGTGTCTGTCTGATTCCCCGGCACAGGGCCTCGCCCGGCGCAGCGGGCAGCTCCTACTTACTGGTAAATAAGCGGAGGAGCCCTTTCAGCCCCCGGCAAGTGGGGGTGTGCGCCTGGCGATCTTTTCAACCCTTGTGACTGCTTGGTCTACGTTAGGGGAAAGTGACAACACGCCTGGCGGTGTATTCCGATTGTGGGCGAAGAAAGCGGAGCAGAAACGCCAGCATCCACTTGTCTTCCCTCCCCTGTGGCCGCGGCGTCCTCCACATGGTCACACCAGTTCAGATAGTTACCGTTAGTGACTGAGCCTATCAGGCTGGAAAGATGTGGCGCCGACGGCACACACATGGTAATTCAGTGTTCCATCCTTCGCTCCCTCACTGCCCCCTTCTTTTTCTGCTCTCTCCCACCCATGTCACCGGGAGCCCGCTTGTTGTTTCAGGACTTCTGGAAGGACTGCGGTTGCCTTTCTGTGTACTAGGAGCCGCCGGTGGACTCCTTCCTGCCCACCAGGCTTTCAGGAAGTTGCTCTGGGAGAGGAGAGTGCACACTGATAATGATTATTTTCTCTGCTCGCATCCAGTTTTCAACTCTAGGAACAAGAACAAAGTTCATTATTTTTACTAGTGGTGGGCCACCTAGTGGAGCAATTTGGAACTGCAGGTGGTGACTGAGGGATTACCCCCCGAGGGGGTGGGGGGACACGTGTATCTTTCTCTTATTGCATGTCATTTTTTGAGTGATGCATTTCTATGCATTTCTATTGGTGTTTAAGCATGTACTTGTTTACGTGTTAAGTTACTACCTGCTAGTTGCCGTCAGAGGCTGCTGGCTCTGTGGGTTAGGCGTTGGGTCGGGCCGCGGTCCCAATAGGCCAGCATTCCACACCCACCAGCTGCTCCCAGGCCGAGGCTGCCTGCTAGTGGGCAGTGAGTGGGCTTGGTTCATTGTTGGAGTTGCTACCGCCGTCATCCAATCAACTCCAGACCAGGGCGATGCCATGAGTGTCGGAGGAAGGGTGTGTGCCATAAGCTGCCCAGAGGTGACCTTTTCGGAGGTAGATAGCCAGTCTTTTCTTCCTAGGTGCTTCCAGGTAGACCAGCATCGCCAAAGCTTGGGTTGGTAGCTGAGAGCATTAACTGCTCACACCACCGACCCCAAAGCTGATACAGTGTACAGTGAGCAGAGCATAAAAACGGTAGTACCAGCCTAGACCGCAGGTGTCCTGAACGCATACCCTTGGCTTCCTCTGGTGCCACTGTTGGTTTCCCATGTCTACTCACTTTGAGGGTGCTAGTTAGTGCTAGGAAGCCAAGGAGCTATATTAAAAACAATTCAAGGAGTCTGACGGAGGGAAGATCATCTTCATTTAAAAATGTACTCTTAGAGTTGGATGGCCATCAGAAGCCTGCTGTTCCGTTTTCTTATTTCGCATATGAAGAAAACACCGATGCGGTAAGACTAAATGATTGATTTGCTGACAATCACTTAGTTTTTTAATTCTGAACCTAGTTATTTT